GGGAAAGAGCAGAATGGCAGGATATAGGGAGGAACGAAAAGGGTGAGCCGAGTGGGTGAGACTGGACAGGGGGTAGAGTACGGGCGACGGGGTCGGTGGTTGAGCAGGCGACACTGGTCGGGAAGGAGGAAGAGGCGGTAAAAGCGGCGCGGTGTATGGGAGGGGTAGGTCGGTGATGGCTATTTTTGGAATGTGGGTCACCCATAAACCCCGGCTTGTCCCGTGACGTCACGGGATCGTCGTCGTGGCAACAGGAACGCCGGGTTAATCACCCTTGGTTCAGAGCTACCCGCCACCCTCTCGCACCTATTCCACCCCTTCGCGACCAGTCGATTCACCACCCCTCCGCGAGTTTACCTGTGCTGTACCGATTAGATTGCCACCAAGCATCGATGTATTAATCGATGCGTCTCCTTCCATTTCCAGAAGAAACCTACCCTCCTTGGAGAGAATGTCGTCGCAGTGTGCATGGATTTGTTTCGAAGGAACAATTTTTTGAAATAATTTATTTCACACCTGTGCCTGGTTGGTCTTCGATTTTTATCGGTGCTACTAACAAATTTGCTTCCAGTAGAAATGTAACTATAATTCACTCGATGTTTATCTTTTTATTAGGGATTAAACGTAGCGTGGATATTACCGCTTAGAAGTATGGGGTTTTTATTCAATGTAATCCTCGTGAGGGGTAAAGCACACGCGAAGACATTATTTTTGATTAGATAGTTAAAAAGATATTTATCGCGAGCTGTAAAATAAGGCATTTGCGAATAAAGATGACAAAATTAATGAAAATTATTTTTGTGATCTAGAAGAGACGTGGAGGATACCTCGATGCAGTTGTAAATGCCTCGTGTTACGAAATAATTAAATAATTAACAGATATTAATGCCGTGAAAGTAGAATATTAGTATATAGTAACATATCTATCGCGATTTGTAAAATAAGATATTTGCCAATAAAGGTGACAAAATTAATGAAAATTATTTTTGTGATCTTGAAGAGACGAGGAGGATACCTCGATGCAGTTGTAAATGTCTCGTATTACGAAATAATTAAATAATTAACAGATATTAATGCCGTGAAAGTAGAATATTAGTGTATAGTAAGATATTTATTGCGAGTTGTAAAATAAAATATTTGCGAATAGAGATGACAAAATTAATGAGAATTATCATCATGAGAATCATCTTAAAGAGAGGATACCTCGATGCAGTCGTAAATGCCTAGTATTACGAAATAATTAAATAATTAACAGATATTAATACAGTGAAAGTAGACCCTCCTATAACACGGTAGATAGGTTCCTAGAAAATGCCGTGTTATGTGAAACCGTGTTGTATGAGACCCAGAGCCAGTACAAAAAGGGGGCTTACGTTTCGAAAACTTACTAAAAACAAATTGTTTTTTAATTCTACACGAACAATTTAAATTTTATTAAAAATATAGACGTATGTACAACACAAAACTAAAAAAGAAAACAAAAATATTATTTTAATTTAATAAATTTCTTCGTCGTCACTGCTCATATAGAAGTACAGTGATGTACAAAGGTTCTTGTAATTTTCTTATCGTGTTAGAGCGAAATCGCGTTATAGGATGCCGTGTTGTAGGAGGGTTCCCGCAATTTATGAATCGTGTTATAGTGAAACCGTGTTGTAGGAGGGCTACCTGTGTATCAAATCGTACACCGATGTATTCTAATTTGTTTGGAATACAATTTGATCGATAACGTCTGCTCCTATACCACGTCATTAATAACGAGGAATCGAGCTTTGCGTTATTCTATTTAGAAAACAGGCTGTGTGCATATTAAATTTCATTTTGAAGCTGCCAATGTTAAAACATCCTCATTGTCTCCTTTAAAATATAAAAACACGAAGATTTCAATTTTTATCGGCGAATTACTCACGCTGCTTGCACGTATTGTTCGGCAATCGAGTCGTCGATCTTCTATGAATAGAATAGAACGTCTTTTCGCGCCTAGGAATTTCATCAGCTTTGTTCCTGTGGCTGAACATAATTTCTAAATTAAGCGACCTGTTAGGACCGACACGATCAAATTTCCGATTCCCTTCCAAACCCGAGTGTCGGTACATCGGTTCACGTGGCTCCATGTTCCATGAGATGTTAACCGTTTACTCGTCCTCTGCTTCCCTCGTACCCGTGAAACAGCACAGGGTTCTGCGTTATCAACGTCGCCTGCGTGTCTGACTAAGCGTCGATACGTACTACCTGTCTGTGGAAATAGGATCATTCTACTTGACCTACCGTTTCCTACTTTAGCCGTGTGGCTTTAAACGAATGCCACCGGTGCAAATATATAGCTTCGATCGTATATCGAGGAAACTGGCCTCCTCAAATAGATCGACCACTCTTAATAGAATTCGGAACGTCGTCTGTTTCCCTCAAGAAACTTCGACAGCCTCGATCCGTCTGAATTTCGATTTAAATCGAATTAAATTGTACTTCGATGAAATAAAATGGGGGGAAAATATAATAACAGGAATGATAACAAGAAGAAGCGAAATTGCGTATAATCTGATACCTCGCGGGAAATTTTCAGTGTTCCAAGGAGTTGGAAATAGCATCTCTGGAAGCGGTTAAGTCAGCCACCCCTCGAGTCATTGGTCGCGCTAAAAGTCAGGGAAGATATAATATCGGGTGCAGTGGCAAGTGTTACGTTTAAGCGACGATGTTTCCGTCAGCGTTACCGCGTTTAGTGCCAAACAGCTGGCACAGCGAAAATCCAGAACGGTCCGTTAATAATATCTTCGTTCTACTCTGACGTGTCTCGAGTCACGCGCATCCACGATCACACCGGTGGACGTTAAACTTCCCATCGCATTTTTTACTCCAACTCCCACCTATCCGACCGATTAATTGATCATTATTAATAGAAACCAGGTTTCAAGACGCTACGCTGGCGCCCCCACCTTCCGTTCTCCATGCGCGAGTTCTGTCTTCGAGCACGCGAGTAAATGCAGACGAAGACTAATTATTTCTCTATTATGATACCTCGTTGCGATCCAGAAGCCTTCGTACATAGACGATTCGCGAGCAAGGCCCATAGAAATCTTCCACCAATAGGAAGCTTGCAAGGGATAATGGGTCCGAGAATTGTTGTTGAGCGCGAAAGCAGCGCGAATTGAGAGACAACGATCTGTCCAGCCGATAGAACTTCATTAGACGCGTGAAAGGGAAACGAGGAAGCCCGTGTTCTTCGCGACACGCATAGCGAGTCGGATTAACACGCTTAATCGAGCGTGTTGGGAGGCAGGCGATAGATCGAGCTTGCAGCCGAGCGAACAACGAAGCAGGCTCGGCTCCGTTTTCAGTTTCCGATTATTTTTGGCAGCAAGCAGAGCGGGCATAGCTCTCGCCTAAAAATGCTTACGACCAATGGCGACTCGCCATTGGTCGGCTACTACCACGTGAACAGCCCACGATGGAGGTTCACGACGTCGGCTAGGGACCCACGATCGCACAGTCAGCTGCCTAAGGTCCAGTTGGCCAGTCGCAGCCAGCAAAAGTTCTTCTCAAGGTAAGCCCAATCGTCGACTTCGTGCGGAGACCCTGGAACCCGTCGCACGATCCTCGTCGATCCTCATCAGGATTCGTGGCGGAAGAACGCGAAGGATCTCGAACTCTTCGAACTCGACCATCTCTGAACGACCCCGTGATCGCTTGCTCCCTTCGCCGTTTCGAGTGTCAGTGAGAGACGTGCTCAGCGGGATTATTTTCAAGGTCACGAGTGTTGCTCGACGTTTAGACTGGTCTCCAGCGCAATTGTGACGTTCCTCGGGGATCGTTCGAGTGAGATCCTGCGTGTGACGCGAGCCACCCAGTGACAGGAACCGAGGTCTACTGCTCTCCATTTCTCTATAATAACATCCGTATTTTGCGAAAAATCAATTTCTTCCAACGTCTCGGGGATCTTTGAGGTCTGCGCAAGTGTCCCCCCGTTTCCCTATCCCCAAATTTTTCGTAAGAGAAATTCAGAAGTGATGGTAACATTACCGTTTCGTTGGCTACGCGAATTCGTACCGATTTAGGTAAACAGCCTTGAACCAGTATGCGCGGTTACCGATACCTTCTTCGACGAGTATGACCCCAGACGCGTCTACGCGATTCGTCGTTACTTCTTTCGCGAAAGATTCGCGATATTCCCAACTTCGTCTCGAGTCAGGATTATGGACCATGGCGATTCGGGTCCACGTTCCTCGGGTTTTGACGATCCTCGCGAAAGGGAAAAGGGAGTAGTAAGGATAACGTTTTCCTCGCTCTGTACCGGCAGACTGCTCGACTTTTTGAGCCAAAGAGGGAAAAAAGAAGAGACGGAACGAGCACGCAATTCCCGTCGACAGAGGATCGTCCCGCTATCGTAGATCATCCGAGGCAGACTCTGCGTGTTTTCTATTTTTACGGTGCCGGGATCCTCTTTGACATCGGAGACGAGACACACATCGTGTCTTGGAATGGCTCGAACGAGAGGGAATCTATACTTAGCGAAGGCGATCGTCCATTATAAATATAAAGCACTTGCCAGTGATCGAATGAAATTTCTGCGGATAGATTATGTTTTCCTACATAGATGGGTAGATCTCCAACCGGTCCGGGGTCTAATCGGCCACCACGCGAGATCGTTCGATTATTCCGGGATAGTCGTATTACCTGGATGAAGAGGGTGGTCGATGTACAACATTTTTCGCGATATAGTCGCTTGCATGGGTGGAAATGTCACGATATACACAGGTAGCCATTGCAGACAGGCAGGTTATACAATTCGCGCGTGTAATAAATTCGGTTTCTATTTTCGAACATTATTTCTGACTCATTGCCGTCGCGGCCATGTCTGTACGTAAGACGTTTGCCAAGAAAATGAATTACTCCTGGCTCTAGCATTCTCGTTTATCAACCGTGTTTTATTATTTTTGCCTTCGTTCATTCCGATTGCAAATTGGACAAATATTTAAACCTCTTTTTCTCGAGGACACTTCGCGATAGCGCATCGACGATTCCGACATAACTCAGTGGCGTTTAGTTATTTTTCTTCGTTTCTGCACAAGGGGATACAAGGGAATAGGATACGCGTGATTGCGCGTTTGCCTCGAATTGCTGTTTAACGAAACAATTTCTATATGGAGGAAGACCGAGGTTCCAGAGATACGGGCTCTCGCTGGCGTTTCTCGTTTTCTCCAGTTGCACCCGCCTTTCCGCTTTTGCCATGGAATCGAGCCGGAGTGCCGAGGAGACGGAGGGATCTACCGGGTCGTTGCATCCAAATTTGGATCGTGGACGTAGCGACGTCTCGGCTGGGAAAGTGGGGACGGTCCGCGTCTATTTTCGAGCACCGGATATTCTACACCGTCGTCGGGCGTGCGTGACGCGGGCATGAAATTTACGTTCAGAACGTTGGATTTATCGCGTGGATCCGTAGAAACCGAGATCGCTGCCCGACGAAAGAAAAATTTATCCAATGACGCAATCGCCGCGGGATCTTCTTCGCCGTTACCCCCACCACTCGCTCGCCGCGACTCTCGCGCGGCCCGCTACCCCCACCACGCCGCCCTTAAGCGCGGTTTATATTTAACCCGTGCAATGTTTGCATTTCGTTCGGTTATCCGTGTCACCGAAACGATCGTATTTACGCCGTTGACGTAACGCCACGGCATTGTTATTTTGCCACGGATACGTGAAACGATCCCGTTTCTATAATTTATTTTTAGGCAGACGGGTGTAGCAGCCAAATACCACGATGGCGGACGATGAGGTTAGGTGGGTATCCAGCGCAGCGTCGCACGATTCTTTTTTCGTTAATTCGTCTTAATGTCTCGTTTCTCCTCTCCGTTTTATGTCTCTGCTCACGCGGCGACCCGTTTCCACAACGATCGCTTCACTTCACGCGAAAATGGCGAACGATGGATCCTCCGCCTGCTTGCGGCCGTGCAGTAAACTCCATGTCGTTGAAAGGTACGCATCGCCTGCGCGCTTTCTGCTTGTGAGAACCCCTGTAAAAAGTACACTAGCCGTTCCCCGTTCGGGCGATCAGTTCGAACGGAGACGTGATTAATAGCGTTTTTTTTCCGAAACCACGATTTTTCCCTGTGCAAACGACATTTTTGTAAACCTCGAAGGACGAATCTTTTCCGTTCCCTTCGAATTTTTCACACATGTTTTTCGTGCATTTTTTCCCCTGTTAATAACCGGGCAACCTCGACCGGACCGGGGTGTCAAATCGACCGAACCCCGTGTACCCTTTTTCTCTCTCTGCACCACAGAGAGTTGACGCAACAATGCGAAAAGTGGTGGACAACGCACCACGAGGTTTGGTTCTTACGTTTTACAGAATAACCAACACAGTCCAGTAGAAGTTTGCTCCTCGTAATTTCTCCCTTCGGGAGAAACTTCGCAAAACCCTGCCACTTTCATCCCCCCGCCCCTGTTCCCACCCTGTCTTCCTCGTCCCCTCCACTTTGCCAGAAAGACTGGATTTCCCGTAATATCCCGGTTTATCCCGTTGACGAAAATTTTCCTCGATCAATTCCACGCGATTTCGATTTCGGCTTGCAGAGGATGCAACGAATCGAATCTTTCCTCGGACAGCTTTATCGGTATTCCCTCGAAATTGGAAAGAAAATCATTCGAAACTCCGATAATCGATAAGCTATTTCGCTTTCCTCTGGAAAAGCACGCGCGCTCCCGCCGAACATGGCGGCTGATCCGAGCCTCGGAGGAATATAAAAGATAGATCCAGAAATATCAGGACCGACGCGAGGGTGGACTTTTCTCTTGATTTATCGTCAGCTTCTCGCCCCTATTTCCACGTTATTTACCACCCTGCGTCGTGTTTCCTCGGGTGTACCATATTTGTTCTCCCAGCGTTCCCTTTCCTCCCGGTCTCTCGTAACTTCTCCGCCACCTGACCTCCGTACTTCTTCCAGTGATTGCGAAAATGTACCCCCGATATTTCCCTAACTTGTATTTTTCAACTTCCCTCCGATTCCCCGCCCCTCGCCCCGTCCCCGTCCCGGTTTTGCATTCGAATTGGCACGGAGGGTATCGCCGCTAAGATAAGAAAATACTGGAATTCCGTCTGACCTGCAGCGGTGTAGATCTTGGCAAAAGTTCGTTCTAAATGTAAATCAAAGTAATATATTTGACAGGCAGAGCCGCGGCCCGTTATCTTCCGTGCCATTTGCTCCTCTCCAATTTGTAGAGACGTCTAACACTCGTTACACTTCGATCGATGGATCACGCGTAGCGCGATTTAGTCGATAGTAGACTAAAACTCGAAGCACGAGCCAGTAGTGAGAAAATGCTGAGGTATGGAACGTAGGTACCATGATCGCACGAAGCACAGAATATCTCTGTGCCCTGCGAGCCGCAGCGTCCTTGTGTTGCCAGCAGCATGCCACTCACGCCGCCATTTGTTATTTACTTAACACCGCAAGCCGTAACGTCGTTTCGTTCGGCTCGTCGATGCAAGCGAAATACGAATAAATTACTGCATGGCATGCACACGAGCCGAAAGCATAAATTGATCGAGACGTATGAACGATTGGCACATATCGCGCGTTTTCTACGCCGTTGCGCCGCGATCTATCGCTTCCTGAACGCTTGGCGCCCTTTCGGAAAAGCGGAACTCGAAACGTTTTGCGCTCCCGCGATGAAATTCCTGCAACGATACGTGACTTTAGCCGCACGCGCGTACACGCGCGGATACAAGCTCGAACGTTTCGCGTTCCGCTCGTGTCGGGTCGACAGGAAAGATTTTTCTCACGATCGCTTTCTATTTTCCTTTACAGAGGAAACGTCTCGAGGATGTACGTAAGAGAGGGGTGAAACTATCGGCGAAGCTTAAAGTCGAGCAGAAAAGGACGGCCCTGTCCGCGGAACTTTTTCAATAACTTGTCAAGCCTCGCTAATCGAATGACTTTTGCGACAGTTTCCGTATCAAGGGCTCGTTACAGACCGCGTCTTTTACAGCAACTTTCCAAATTATTTACGCTCTTCTACTCTTCGCGGCAATCGTCGTGACTAGTGCTTCTTCTTCTTATTTCATCCTTCGTAACTTTCTCATTTTTTTTTTTCTTCTTTTCCCTTTTCTTTTCGCCGGTTTATTTCCCCTTGTTCGCCCACTGGTCGCAAAAGCTGTAAGAATATTAAATATCACCGGTCCGCGAGAGGAACCGAGTTTTTCGGGCTTCTCCGTTGAACGTAGCTCCGAGCTACTGTCAGATGAGATATTTTAAGGGAGTTTCACACGGAAAATGTAGGAAAAGAAGAGGAAACAGGCGGAGACCGACAGAAAGAGGGCGGAGGTCCGCGCCCGCCTCGAAGAGGCTTCCAAAGCCAAGAAGGCGAAGAAGGGTTTCATGACCCCTGACAGGAAGAAGAAGCTTAGGGTAAGTTTACATTCCATTCTGCGGTTATTTCTCCTTACGAACCTACAATTGATACTCGGACGATGCCTCGTATCCTTTGCGCTTTTATCGAATTCCCCTGTAAACCTAGAACATTCTAAGACGTTCACGTAGCAGCCACGTCTGGAATTCTGACCGAGCTATTCTCGCTCCTATCTTCCACCTTCTACCTCCTTTCCTTCGAAAGCTCTTCATCCGTTGCAAAAAATTACCCCCCTCCCTTTACATAATACTGCTACGTGTGCATTTCGCCACTCCTATCCTTTCAGCCAAGAAAGAATTTATCTATCGACTTAACGCCTTCACTGCCTTCAGGGACACGATAAAATCCCTTCGAGCAGTGTGAAATTTAAATCGTCTTGTTCCATAAATTCTCCGCGGTATTTAATATTTTAACCCTTTCCTTAAAGCGGTTATAACGCAAGGGAATAGTAGTCAGTCGTCAAACGGTGGAAAAACTGTACAGATCTTTATTGAACGGGCAAACGGTTAGAACTGGTCAGTTTAGGGGCACGCGGGACACAGGACGTCTCCAGAAAATAGGAGACAAAAGACAGAACGCAGGGGAAGGGATCGCCCCCATATAGCTAGGATGTAGAGTTTACTTTACTGCTTAGTTTTTACTACAACACCCTTCAATGTCTAAAATCTTGTAACAAAATATACAAGAAACTAACAAAATTAACCACTCGCGCTAGAAAGACGTGCCACGCACGTCGACATGCTTTTGTTCCAAAATCGTCAGCCACGTGTACACCACGTTGATAGGCATTTATCGCAGAAATGAAAATGACGTGGACTGTACGTCGACTAATAACCAGATCGTTCATTTCTCGAGCTACAATTCCAGAATGCACGATGTTCGCATAGTGTCATCGATATCTTGGAAATATTTCAGAATCGATACAGTATGTCAATGTGACATCTAATGCAAGTTAATATTCTTTGCCAAAAGGATTAGGAAAACGGTCATTTGTTGACATCCGTGCAACGAGTATTTAATATTTCTCACATTTTTCCACTTCGCGGTATCTCCGAGCGAAAAATACATGCCACTACTAATCTCATGGCTTCCGTCCAAGTTCCCTTTCGCGAAATCCACTCGCTTGGATGGAAGAGTATTCTGACAAAGTTTTGTTGTGCACCCTTAGCTGTTGCTGCGTAAGAAAGCCGCGGAGGAATTGAAGAAGGAACAAGAGAGAAAAGCGGCTGAGAGGAGGCGCATCATCGAGGAGCGTTGCGGAAAGCCGAAGAACGTCGACGACGCTAGCGAAGGTACTTGAAAAGCTTTTTGAAAAATCACTAGTCGATAACAGGCGCAAAACCGCGGTTTCTCGGTGCATCGGCGCGCGATAGACTGCTAACAATTCGGTCAGGGTCGAAGATCGAGCGACAGCTCGTCGTAGGTCTATAAGAGACTTCCTTTTTTTCTGAGACATCGACAGACATATGCGAGAGATGCGACTCGATTCGCTGGGACAGATGTCGCTGTAGCACTTTTTTTCTCTCGTACTGTCCACAACCTGTTCGCAGACGATCTCATCGTTTTTCGAGCACATGGATAATTTTGAAGCTCGCCACGTCGTTTCACGTGTCTTGCATCCCGAGGATCCTTCTGCGTCGTGCATAGATATATACCCGGACACCCGACACCGCGTCATCCCTAACTCGACTAAACTGCTCGACCCGGGTACCGATCATTCCACCCTCGTGTTGCTATTCAATATGATGAATTCTGTCCGATCTTTTTCACCTTGATCCACACAGAAACCGTGAAGCGCGTGCTGCGCGAGTACCACAATAGGATCACAGCATTGGAGGATCAAAAATTCGACTTCGAATATGTTGTTAAGAAGAAGGACTACGAGGTACATACAGAGAAAAGAGCAGCTGCGAGAAACATTACGAGACGTGCAAATAACGAGGCATTCACGACACCGTAACGATGCTCAATGTTGTTGCACTTGAGTAATGTGCCGCGCTTGCCCGGTTGCGTTCACTTTCGATCACGAAGAGCCTCGGGTACGTTTGGCAAACAGCTCGAAACGGCGGATCGGCCATCTTACGCAACCCTAACATTGCGATTATTTATAAACGGCCAAAGCGTATTTTCGTTCTCGCCGTGATGATGCACATTTTTCTTCTTTTTTTTTTTTATTTCTATGATTCACCTTTTTTCTCTGTTTTTTTACTGTTCCATCTCTGTCAAGGGTTTGAACGCGAAATCGGTCCGTTTGCCAAACTCGATTCGCTGACCACGGTCGCTTGCTGGCAATCCGGGCAAGTGTCGCGAGCTTCGCATTTCGTCTCTCCGTGTTTCTATAATATTTACTGTTTTATTTATATCTCTGATCTTTTTTTTCTCTCACTTTCATAACACGGCTATTCTCTCTGTCTCTCTATTTCTTTATCTCTGTCACTCTTTTCTCGCACAACTTTTTCTGTTCGCATTTATATGTGCGCGCGATCTGTCTCTACCACTTTTATCGTCTTTTGCTCTTTCGTTTAATGCTATCAAGTCGTATTTTACATGGTAAGCTGAGCAATCGTGGACTATACACGTATTAACTTATTGTGTTCTCACAAGTTGTCGCCAGAATTGCCGCTATTCTTGTATGGTGGAGTAATATACTTATGGTAATGATGGTAACTCGGTTTTTTGGTTTCGAGAGATACGTGCTTCTGTTCGGAGTTTTCACTTTTCGTGTATTTCAACGTTTCGAACGTATGTAATCTTTTTTTTCCACATTGCTTTCTATGTTCATGCCGCTGCCACCCTGTTCGAGTAGCACAGTTTGCGTTCACCGCGTTCTACCCGCGAGCGTGATCCAAGACACACTCGAGAGATAGGTTCGAACCACTCGGAAGCGAACGCTGACACTTCGTAACGTCGTTGACAAATCTCGTTCAGCTTTCATACCAGACTCACCGCCACACTTGTCCCTGCTTTCACGCGTTGTCCCTGCCTCGGGTTCGCGAGCCGAGATAAGTTCACACGGGACCCCGTACTCGCCCTTTCTCGTCCGCCATCGCGCGCTTAGGAGCGCTCGGGGTTAGAAGCGTGTGTAGAATAACTGATATAGCTTAAGAAAGAAAAATAAATAAAATTAAATTAAAAAAAAAAGAAAAGAAAATAGAAACTCGTCGGCTAAAATCGTGCGCGATGCCTGAAAGAGGAGTATGTTTCAAGGTGACTTGAAATTTTGACAGCTAGCGTGAAGTCCATTCTGATCCAGTATCATAAGAGGATCATCGCTCTCGAGGGGGAAAAGTACGACCTTGAGTACGAAGTCGCCAAGAAGGATTTCGAGGTCGAAAAGTTTTCGATGCAGAAAAAAACAGACGACGCTGCAATTAACAAAACCAGAGAACAGAATTTTTTTTCATCCGATCTTACTTCTTTTTCTATCGTGTCTTTCTTTTTTCTTTTTTATTTTCCTCTTCTTTTGTTCTGAGTCTTTTTTTCTCATTAGTACGCAAGGACTTTTTGCTAGCCAGCGCTGAACATGATCGTTTTCCTTTTTTATCTTTTTTTTTTTTCTTCTTTTTCCTTTTTCTTTTTTTCTCCTCACGGAATTGACGTTTCGGCTGTTGTTACCTTTAACGTTTACCGTTGAACTTAGGCATCGAGGCTGAATCATCTAATCGCACCAATTCTAACGTAGTACTCGCAAGATTTCTTTTCGCTAGTTTAGAACGTCTTCCTAGAGCGTACGTAATGATTAGAAAGAGAACAAAAGCAGGCACGCGTGACTCGTAGATTCGCAGCCAGTAGATGTCAAGTAATATCGTAATGCTGATACCTAGATCCTATCTTGAGCGGTTTGATGTAGAACAACGATTTATTTTTCCTTTCTTTTCATTTTTCTTCATTTTCTTTTCTTATTTGTTTCGTTTATTTGTTACGTTTATTTGCGCGTAGGCAACTAGACCTTTACCACCTTCTGGCGCCAGTACTAGTCCGAAAATACGATTCCTCCACTATTCCCCTAGACTCCCGTTCTTTCGTGTCAGGTTAACGTTCACGCAGTTGTCAGCTTCGTGCTTTTTGCTTTCAAAACACGAGAATCTCATTCTATTCTATTTCCTTTGAATCTTTATCCTCTCCGCGACGAACCCTTTTAATAACATAGCAATCGTGATTCTTATCGATAGGGATTTTTGCTAAGGAAAGCAACGTCGATGGTAAGATTGTAGCGATCGAGGATACGAGCGAGGATCTTTAGGTGTGTCTGTCATGGAGCGCCATGTTTTTTTTCTTTTTTTTCCTCAATTTTTGACACTATATATTTTAAAGGTAATCGATTTTAATAATTAAGATCGCAAAGGATGGTCGGAAGCATCCTTCCATTTTTGTCACTCCTTTTTGCATTTTGCTCTCCATTCTGAAACTTTTGTTCTTTTAGCCGAGCTCCAGACGATCTGTTCGGCATATTGGAACAGACTATACGCGCTCGAGGGCGATAAGTTTGACCTCGAGAGGCAAATTAGGTTGAAAGAATTCGAGGTAAATACGATCGGCTCGCCTGAAGAAAGCCTAACGAGTCTCCTGCACAGATTATTTTTATCTGGCCTCCCACGTGATTCGTTTTGGGTTTAATTTAACTTTGCCACGTCTCCGACCGTATGATGCGATTGGTCGATGACCCACGTGCTCCTCCCGGTCGACGCACCCTCGAAATTTCACTTCCGGTATCTTTTTTCCTATTTTCATCGCGGCTACGCGACCCCAGGAAACCTGGCCATTTTCTCTCGTTCTAGCCTAATCCACCGATCATAGTTGGTTCGATCGATACTATACACTCGCGATCCATCGGGTTTTGCCGGATCGTCACGGAAAGAGAAGTTTCGAGGGAACGTAACCGGGGGAATAACCTCGTCTATGTTTCGATACGGATGGAGGTCGATAGGACAACTTCCATTTGAACGAAAAGGAGAGATTTCAGAGCAGGTCACGTCGCGTCAGTCGCTCCAGGAGAACGTCCTCACCGGGCTCGGCGCGATTAGGCATTCGGTTTTCGCGCGACTTTCATTATCAAGCGAGTAGAACGAGAGACGTCACGAGAATTCGAACTTTCGATGATAAACGTGATACGTTATTAACAACTGCTCGCGAGGAATACCAAAAATTGGATATTGTTTCGATATAGGGTGAGTCGCGTAAGTCTACGAAGAACGACCTTGGAAATAGCCGAGGCAGAAATTTCGTATAATTTATTCGTCTACGAATTATCAAGACGATCTTAATTTTGTTTTTTCTTTATGAGATGCTTTTCACTCGATCGTCAGATATAGATAAAATAGTTCGTTACACGACTCAGCCTGTACGCGAAGGTATCCGTGTCTCTGTCCGTCTCTCTTTCTCTCGACTCGCCTCCTGGCTATTTAGTGAAAATAACGTATGACGAGTGGAAGATATCTGAGACAGACTCCATGTTCTTTGTAGACGATTTGAAGGAGATTTGCCAAATGTATTACGACCGCGTCTACCTTTGTGAGGGTCAGAAGTGGGATTTGGAGCGTGAAGTTCGGAAAAGGGACTATGAGGTACAGGAGATAAATAAAAGAAAGCAGCAAAAAAAAAAAAAAACGGTGAACAATGCGAGGAGAAAGAGAGCAACCGCCAGTCGCACGTTTCTTTTGTGCAACCCCTCTCTGAATTTCTCTCTTCGCGTTGTCTCTCGTTCTTCCACCCTCTTTCTGTACATATACGTCTCTACTCGAGTTCTTTCTCTCTTTCACGATGTTTCTCTTGGAGAACACGTTGAGTGGCTCTTTTCAGCAACGAGAAATCGAACGACGAAAAGAAACGGCTTTTTCTTTTTCGACGCGCGATCACAAAAATACGAACGCGATGATCTTTTTTCCGTCGGCTTTTATCTCTGCACGGCCGCCATTTCGATGGCGTCACGCGCGGCCATCTTTCTCTCCGTACTGTATAATCTTGGTCAGTCCTGCCTCGGTGATCTACCCTAACCTGTCTCTCTTCGATCCTCCACTTTCTTTTTTTCTTTCTCCAACCCCCTTTTTTTCGGATCACCCAATCCGCGCGGAGTCCCATGCATACAAATATAGAGAACGAAACAGCTCGCCGAACATTTTTCTTTTTTCGCGTGGATATGAAGTGCCGCAATTAAAAGCATTTTTTGCCCTTTACTCTTCACTCGCTCTCCCCCTCTCTCGTCTCTATCTTTTCTTACCTTTTTTTTTTTTATTTTCTACCTCGGCGAACACCTCTCTTCTTCTATCCGCTCTCTCTCTCCCTTTCTCTCTCTCTCTTTCTCTTGTCTCCAATTTTCGCGTTTATTCTTCGCAGACATAGACGTACACATTTATGATTTACAAATTTATGATTTAGAAATTTTTCCATTCACACCCTCGCTGTCTCTATCTGCGATCTCTGTTCATCTTTATCTATCCATTTGTCTATCTATTTATCTATCTTTCCACTTTCTGTCTAACTAACGCAGACATAGGCTTTTCTCAGCTTTCTACTAACCGTTCATTCTCGCCAAAGGAAAATAAAAATAAAAATGAAAGGAAGAAGCTTCTCGCGAGATTCGAATCAGGGCTGGGCAAGCTTATGGAGGAGACGCTTGTCGGGTTAAATCGATTCGCTCCGTTCTCGAGCTCACGTCTCCGACAGGCTCGTCGATTTTGCCGAACGATCGTTTCGTCGCGATCGAGATCGCGGGCCGGATCTCTCTCTCTTTCTCTCTCTTCCTCTCTTTCGACCGCATAACGCGTTCTCGGCGAGAAAAGGAATCGTGAAATGAGAAGTCCGGGATGTCCCGACGACAAAAGAGTTTACCTTTTCACCCTCGACATTGTTTCGATTTTTTTTTTTCTTTTTTTCTTTGACTTTCATTCACACTCCGATTCTTTTTTCCTTATTTTTTCTCTCTCTCTCTCTCTCTCTCTCTCTCTTCTCTTTCTCTGTACATCTGTCTATCTATTTATCTCTTTCCAACTTTTTTTCTAAGAAATGTACATATATTTATATACATATATATATATGAACACATCGAAGGGGCCAAGAGATCCCTTTCGGTCTCACGCGAGATCCAAAAACGTGTGCGTGAGACTACGCGCGTGTGTGTGCGCGTGTGCGTGCGTGGGTGCACGGTGCAAAATCGGGGAAGTGAGAAGGAACGACAGGATACAAGTAGCCGGAAAAGGGGGCAGGGGGGCAAAAATATAACAAAAGAGTAGTGGAAATTGGGAAGAAAAGAATCGTATCGAATCGTTCTCGCCGCCATGATTGGCTACCACTGCTGTACATTTCACGTCTTCTTCGTGTTTTTCTCTGCTCGCTTTACCATTGTGTTTTTCTTATTTTTTCACTCTCTGCCTCTATCTTTTTCTCTCTCTCTCTCTCTCTCTCTCTCTATCTGTTCATCTCTCCGCGCCCTTCTCTCTTTTTTATTCTCTCTCACTTTCACACGCTTTTGATCTATCTCTGTTTGCACTCCGTTTGCTACCCTCCACCCTGCGAGGAGCCTTGCGAGCTTGATTTCCCGGAATGTCATTAAAATCTGCCGCTTTTTCTATCGCTTAACCGAGCATGCGTCGCTTTCGCTATCCATTAACAACGTTATAGGATTATTTATCGACACGCGTCTACACGCGGACAAGGATGATCGATCTCGACGAGAGATTTTCACCACCGGGGCACGTCCACTGTGCCCCGAGTCGCACGAGTGCCCGCTAAAAACCGTGGTGTATCAGTTTCGAACTGATGATTTGCAATCGAACGTGAAATCCAATTCACGAGTCGGTGGCGAGCGAAATAACCGGCGCACGTTATTCCGTTCTATTCGGTCATTTTTCATAAAGTTTCCACCGTTGGCGAACACACGCGCGCGCCCGAATTCTCTTTGGCCCGGCTGATATCTAAATTAACAGCATGGATCAATTTTTCACGCTGCACCAACGCCAATACGCATCGCAGATTTTCTATTAACTTCGTTCCGGCCGATCGCGAATTCAATCGCGGACAGATCGATCGATTTTCCGTAATAAAGACACTCGTTGTGCTTTCTCGCTGGAAAAAAGGCAACGAAAAAAAAAAAAGAAAGGAAAAAAAGGGGAAAAAATAAAATTCTGCGAACTCGCACGTATTTCGTTTTCCTGCACCGCGAGAGGGAAGTATGGCACTTCATATTCCCCGCGAGGGAAGAAAAAGAGAAAACACGCATCGCGATATCGTTTTCTGCGACTCTTTTCCCGTCCGATTGCGACCATGATCGAGTCGCCATGTATACGTATGCACAAGACGCTGGGAAACATCGAAGCGTTCGAAAAATCATCACGATGTTGAATTCGAGCGAGGAGAGTAGGTACGTAGAGGAGAAGCTTCTGGAAGCTCTTCGCTGCCCCACTTTTGGATTCCACCCCTTGATCTTTTGTCAACAAAAATTTGTGTTTGACCGGAATACTCGTGTACCGTATACACGGTGTAACTGACCACCCCAAAAATGTAGATAATCGAACGCTGGTTGTATGTGACCTCCTCTTTCCACGCTTTTCTACATTCCACTGTTAACTCTCACGAAGGTGGACCGTCTCCGGAACGAGTTGGAAGTACCACGAGACCGAAGTGCCATGCTGCGAAAATTCTCCGGCCCTGGAACCCTCTCTTTTTCTCCCCCCCCCCCCCTTTGTTTTCGTCTGTACAAATCGTCCAGTGTAAATTTGCCCCCCACCAACCCACGTGCACTCGTCTGTGAATGCGAATAGAAAGCGAACATAGATACGACTTTCTTTTTTTCTTGTCCATCCTCTGTTGTCCCGTGGAAGAGACGTGAAAGCAAACACGTACACGCGTCTACGATGTCGATATGGGAACGAGCGAAAGTGATTTTGCACCGATTCGCACGCACCACCGACTGTCAGTGTCCTCTTGTCATGGTGTTCAATTGGGCCTGTAAATAGCGGATCCTTTCTGGCGGAAATCTGTTCCTCCGTTAGATACCGGCATTTTCTAATCCCTCGCAGTCGTTGGACGACACGGGTAGACCGGGAAGACAGAGTCTCGCGATGGCGAGGCTGTGATCTTACGGGACGTACGCAGGCGTCTGCGTGGAGACGCGATCGAGTCGAGTTCGAGTCCAGAGGATTAGACAGGGTCGTCGAACAGTGAGAGGAACAGAGTTCCAAGAGTCCGGAAAAGGGATTGTAGTGGACTTTTTACTTCTTTTTTTTCTCTTCACCCTCTGTGGACAAAGAGCTGATCGTGACCAGCTCTCCCCCTGATTGGCCAGAATGAAATTCACATCCCATCATCGCTGATCCTTTCTAACCCTCGGTCCCGGTCTTCCGTCCTTCTCTCTTTCACCCTGTCTCCGATTCGTCGCTCTCTTTTCATCGGCTCTCTCCCTTTGACCCGCTCGGCGTCCTCTGTTCCGCGTCCATGGGCCGTAAAGGTGAAATGGGACGAGGGAAAAGGAAGGCTCGAACGTCTCTCAGGGAGAGAGGAGAGAATCCGACAAGTGGCTTCCGGAGGAAGTTTCGCCAGAAGAAAGCTATTCAAAGACACTAGAAAATCAATTTGTTTGAAAGACCTTGGGAACGAGTAAAGCCGCCGCTTTTCAGACGGGGAAACCCTTATGGTAAGGTAATACTGGTCGAAACGATTGGCTAGGAGCAGAGTAGACGTTCGTACATGCGGATTATTAATTCGCGTCCTTGCCGTTCACGTTCAGTCGTGATCACAATGGATGAAACTTGTCACGGTACTATTCAATTTTTGACATGTCCGCTACGTCTGTCCTCTGTGTACCCGGTGACACACGTCACGATCGCGATCAGAGCTTCCAGCTGTGCAGCGATCCGTCGGTTTTCCCCTAAAACGGCAGCTATCGTGCAACGCGGTTCTTCGTGTTCGACGATGAAACGAAGAACGAGGCTTTCAACGCGTTGTAATCACTAGCGTTTCGCGTAACTGCCGATAGCCTAACTTTGCCACTTCTCTGTTCAGTTCTTGTCTCTGGAGGAACGTTGAGGAGGCTATACGTGTACAAGTTTGATCTGATCGCTGGTTTAACCTTTTTTTCTTTTTTTTTTCTCTTCTCACACGTTTCTCTTCGTCTCTCTATGTGCATCACCGACATCTCGTCTATATTTGTCCAACGCAACCGTCCACCTGCTCTCCGAGCACCCTCCCTCTCCCATCGTTCCACCCCCATCACGGTTACCTGGCGTTGCAGTTAACCAGCAGACCGATTTATCGTTAATCTCGACTCGTCGAGTGCCTCGCTAACCCTTCACCTCCGTATTCGCCGCAAATCCATGCACCACCCCCTTCTCTCCCGCCTGCTTCTGGCACGCAGGTCGCATGCTAATTTCTTGCTCGTGTTCTCGTTCTTTTCGTCCGCTTAACGTTTTCTTTTTCTCGTTTCACCTCGTCCGTTTAACCCTCGTCGCACGCTTTCTTGATTTCCGTGCAGTGCTGTGTGCGCGTTCTTTGTCTTGCCACTGGATGTGTTCACTGTGATTAAAAGAAACAACAGACGCTTCTTTTGTAATCGTAATTACCATCGGGACGATCGCGTCCCTTTCGCGAGCACGAAATCTAGCTATACCCGGTTCTGGGTCGTGGAACGATCGCCCTCTGGCGGTACGATCACTAAATTCCCTAGAAACGCCATCCACTTTGCATTTTCGATTCGATTTATGAAGCCAAGAGCGTTCTCCACGAGGGCGTCGTTCCGGCGACCGACAAGTCTTTCGCGACGAAGAATCGACGGGAAATAAGCATGATCATATCCCCGAGTCGATCAAACGAAACGTAGATCTAATATAATCTTCGATCGCTGCAGATCGCGGACTTGAACAGCCAGGTGAACGACCTTCGAGGTAAATTGTAAGTAATCCCTTCTCTGTCTCGCTTCACCGACCATCGTTGTCGCGTTACGGATTGTTATCGTTCCTTAAACACCTTACCACGGGATAATAACGTTTGCTCGATGTCGTCAGCATGAAACCCACGCTGAAGAAGGTGTCCAAGTACGAGAACAAGTTCGCCAAGCTCCAGAAGAAGGCGGCCGAGTTCAACTTCCGCAACCAGCTTAAGCAGGTTAAGAAGAAGGAGTTCACCCTCGAGGAAGAGGACAAAGAGGTAAGAACGATCGTTTTCGACAACGTGACCGATGCACTAGGTTTTTAGGCAGACCTTTTTTCCCCGCCCGTCGATGGGCGGCCATTTTGTATTCGTCTATTCGACGAGGATCGTGGAAATGCAAGACTCTCGATAGAAACGCGTCGTTTTCTTTCCATCTTATCCAAAATGGACACGGATACGGATATCAAATTCGTCTTACCTTTCTACGAAGCCTCCACGATACGCACGAGTCACGATTTTTCCACATTTTTCCACTCGAATCTTTTTCACGTTTTTCCCCATACGACGGGTGGGTTCTGTATACACGTTTTTTTCCAGCCATTGAGAAAGACAGTTTTTGTGGCTCTGGTTTTCTTTCCGTGTACAATACCCGATCAGCAGGTTTTTTCCTTTGTATCAGTAGCATTTTGATCACTCGTTTAAACGTCCTTTCGTGGAGATCGGCCGATCGATCCTCGCGGAACGAGTCTCGTGGATTTTCTCAAATTTTCGCAAATTTTTCGAATCCCGACTCGGCATGCAGATTGATCTCCTCAGAAGGACGTGAGAGATTTTTTGAGTCGTTTTTTTTCGTACATGTAAAACCCCCAGTAGTAGCGATAGTTGACTAGGCAATTGTGTTGTTCTCCACAGCCCAAGAAGTCCGAGAAGGCAGAGTGGCAGACGAAGAAGTAGATTTAACAAAAGAACACACATAAAATACACGTAAAAAATGATAAAAGAGAAAAAAAATCCAAGTCAGACGAAAACACGCGCGTACACAGGCAATCGAGTAATAATCACGGCAGTATCGAGACAAAGAGCTTTAACGCGTGAACCGGACGCGAGCACGAAGGTGAAAAATCGCGAGCAAAAACAGCCGGAGGATTCGTTTTCGTTCGTTACGTTCCCCGTATTATACCGTTTCACCTTGATCAGCGTGGCCTGTTTACCACTTTCCCTCGAGCCGTTTGTAAACACGCGTCCAGCTTCCCGTTCTCCGTTTTCCGAAATGCGTCAGGCGCCAAGCCCGAAATTTCTTGTCCCTCGGAAAGGGAACGGGATAATGGAGTAAAAGAGAATAAAAGGAAAAAGAAATGAAAGAATGCTGTGTCAATAAACGATCGAAGAAAGTGCACGAAAGGCGAATGATTTTCCTCGAAGATCACTTCTTGCGTTTTTCTCCACCCCCTTTCTCGACGGTAGCTCGTTATTTCCTCGATATTTTCTTTCGTTTCATTCACGGCCACGTCTCGTACATTTTTTTCCATTCACCACTTTTTTCACAGGGAACCGTACTCGACGAGACTCGATCCTCGAATACGAAAACGGCGCGCTCTCCGATCGGGCGCACGGGGCCCGGATATAAAGCGAGCCGGATCCCGGCGATTTTATGGAATATCCGATAAGAATGGGTCGAGTGTTATCGAGAATCGTTCCGTTCTGCGCCACTAATTTTTTCTCTAAGCTCCACTGATCTTTTTTTCGCCCCCCCCCCGTTCGTCTCGTACGTGCCGAGGACAATACGACGGAGGATAATCGCGAGATCGTACACCTAATTCGCTTTTTAACGCGTTTACTTTTATTTCCTCTCTTCTCTGTTACTTTTAACGCCATTTCACAAAAAAGACCTCGGTTACGTCGATTGCGTAGCAACGAGCCAAATACGCGGTGTAAGAAAAGAAAAAGAAAAAAGAAAAGAATTAAAAAAAGAGATAACGATAACGCGTAAAAAGAAGCTATGTATATAAAAAAAAAAAAAAAAAAAAGAAAAAAGGTGAGAATGGCTTATAAAGTATATTTAAGACTCACAGAATTTCTTCTTCGTTTCGTACGTAATCGCAGAAGCGCTTTACTCACAAGTGCCTTTTCATTCTTCTCTGTCTATCTATCTACTACACTTCTCTCTCTCTTCCTTTCTCTCTATCTCTATCTCTCTCTCTTTCTCTTTCTATCACTTTCTCTAATTATTCATTCACCGACTCTGTCTGCAATTCATTTTCGTTTATCTTCTGTTTGAACTCGTTAATCGCGCAGACTCCTTCATGCAAAGTACCCTCGTTTAGGAAACGATTGCCGCGCGCTAAGCAGAACGTACAGAGGATGAGATTGAAACGAACAACCCGCTGTTACAAAAAGAAAAAAGAAAAAAAAAGAAAAAGCATCACACTTTTCAATTAGAATCATTCCGAGACGCAAAATAAGCTCTTCTGCAGCTTGCCTTTACCGCCAATCGTTCGGCTGCCATGCTTCCAGGCTGTACATGTGTAGGATTGTTGTCCCGTCTGAATTTTCACTCTGTCCCGAGCCGTGCATCGATCGTTGATCCTCGAGACCGCGATGCGTTACTCGTTTCGAGTATGTTCGTACTTATATACCTAGACGATCGTTTGCTTTGTTCGCTGCACGGTTCGACCATACGCCATCGTCGTCGGCCATGATTCATCCCGCGATCGATGGTCTTCGAGGACTTCGATCGATCGCGTGAATCACGGCCGACCCGTTAATCGTTAAGTTATTAATTAGTATGTACGCTCTAATAATTGTCCATGTCTTATCTGTTGACTAATGATGTTGCTCTTGCATTATGTTCGCAGAACGCGTCAAAAGATAAGGTAAAGCTTTAAACGATCAACTCGTAGATCGGCATGCTTCTAGTAGGAGATTACGTAGTATTAGACAAACACATAGATTACATAGATTACAGGGCTGGTGTGAACGAAAGAAGCAGAACGAATCGTAGGATTAGATAGAGAAGAAGCTTGCTTCCCCTTTAACGACACGACCATGACACGATTTTTCCCCCGAAATTATTTTGCCACATTCAGACTCTTCTCTCGCCACATTTCGCGCTAACAATCTGCACGGCTTTTTGGACCACGTCGAAGAGAGAAGATCGACGTGCCGGTCGTCGTAATTTTTATTCGGGACTGTTAACCCTTTGCACTGTTTTCGCGAGCACCACTCGCGATGAAAATTTTAGGCCGAACTTGAATATCACGAGGCAGGCCCGTTGTTCAATTTCGTGCCAAACGTGGGTATCACGAGTCTTACTCGTGATCGACATTTCGGGCCAAATATGGATATCACGAGTCTCGCTCGTTATCGAAATTTCGGGCCAAACATGAATATCACGAGTCTCGCTCGTTATCGAAATTTCGGGCCAGGTATGAATATCTCAAATGTGTTCGCGGATATTTTGCACTCAATCGTAAGATATCGTGTTTCAAATTCCGACATTCGGCTTCTTTGCCGACTATTCGAACGAACCGGTTTGGCACGGCTGGGAAGTTTAAATTTTTGGGCGAATTTTGGGACCGCGCGAATTATGCGATGCACGCATGTACGACGGAAGTACACGAGCGATTGTTAATAATTCGCGGGTATGAATATTTCGCGCACCCCTTAACGCTGGGAAGTTTAAATTTTTGGGCGAATTTTGGGACCGCGCGAATTATGCGATGCACGTATGTACGACGGAAGTACACGAGCGATTGTTAATAATTCGCGGGTATGAATATTTCGCGCGCCCCCCTCCAGAGGAAATTACGACCGCGAATACCAGCCACGCGTTACCCTGCTTTGCGAAAGTTTCCCACAGAGCTAACCCCCGAACTGGCGTGTGCAAATTTCACCGAGCCACGCTCGTGAACTGCGACTTTCTCACGTGTGTTTTCTGAAAGTTGCAGAAGAAACCCGACTGGTCGAAGAAAGGCGAGGAAAAGAAGGTAAAGGAAGAAGAGGTCGAGGCATGAGGCAATTCGCGCACGCTCTCGACGTTCTCGAGAAGGGATCGTCCATCCAATGCGTCCGATAACATCTCGAAGCAACAAACTTCCTCGTTACCGTCACTTTTGTTCTGTCATTTTTTTCTTTTTCTTTTTCTCTCATCGTCTCGATTAACGTGTAACGTCTACAACTCCCGAGAATGCACGCAAAAGTATCACGTTGTCCGTATGTTTCGTCTGCGATGATTCCTCGACGTACACCATCGAGAATTCACCGAACATCATTCGTGTCCGAGTTCTAATCCAGAGTTCAGAATTTTGTGACTGACCAGCCATTTTCTCTCCGTTCTCTATTTTTTGTTCTTTTTTTTTCATTTTTTTCTCTCTCTTCGAGTGAACAACATATGTATATATATATTTTTTTAAAAGAATCGTAAACCCTGTACCGTTCACGTTTCCGTCTGTCAATATTTTTTTTACACGTCAATCCTGCTCTACACATGTCGATGTAATTCTCTGTGAACCGGATGAAGGGAGAAATGAAACGTAATCGAATAGCAAGAAAGGGAATCTTTATTTAAGGTTTATTGTAAATCGAAATATTTAACGACAATGAAATACATTGCACCTGTGTGTTCATTTCCATATTTATCCCCTGTATTATCCCCGTAATCGTTTCATGTTCTATGTTTCGTATCCGAAGACGTCAATTTTCAACCAAATACAACATTCACGATGCCTCGTGTCACAATTTGAAAAATATTTTTCGTTTTATTTTATTTTATTATCGCTAATGAGGATGGATATTTTGAAATGGCGATATTTCGAAAATGGAAATAAGTGACACGTGACGTTCTCTTTTAGAGAAACTATCGTTGACTGTTGAAACTGTCGTCTTCGATGAAATGAGAAGTTAAAACAATCGTAACTGTACCCATTCGTGCTGTCACGTTGTATATTCGTTGTAATCATATTCGTATCGAAGCGAACGTTGAAGACAAGCGTTTAAACATCGCCGTTAATTTCTCGAACGGTTCAATTACCACGCGATTATTAGATTTTGCGCAAGAAACAGAATTTTTGCGCGGCTCGAAGCTAGGCTACATGAAAAGACGGTAAACCTGTCAAAGAGCCAATGAGGCGTGTCGAATGGTAGAGCGCACAGTGAAGCGTGTACATTCTATCGAGCAATTTTACGCCACGTCTTATAAATATCGACGGGTGCTTTAAGGAATTAAATCTTCGCGTTCAGCTTCGAGTCACGCGAAATTTTCCACCGTTTCTCTCTTTTCTGCCGAAATTTTCAAACGGAAATTCGTTCCGCGTCGAGTACAATCGAACGAATTGAATTGGCAGTGGAACAAGGTAGGTCCGACGCTAATCAGATCATTACGATCCGCTTAATTACGATTCGCTATGGCTAGTTTCTCCGCGCAGCTTTTCTGCATACGTTCGCTACAATTCGCGCGCTGTTTACGCTCGGATACGAATCGGATGAGGATTATCTCGCCGGGAATGGAAATTCGGCTGGTTCAGAAAAACTCGAAATGTTCGCGATACCTCGGCCGTTACCGTAATTCTGCCCGCGAAATTTTCGTTGCAATTTTTCCATCGTTTTTCCCCGCGTTTTTCGCCGAAATTACATATTCGCGCGCGCGGAACTCATTCGCTGGACGTGCATTGAATTTACCTGGCAATGTTTATCATCGCAACGCCATTGTTTAATTATCTTGACAATATTCGCTATCGCAAACGGTCATTGATTTACGCTATCGAATGGCCACGCGTCGCGTCGCACCGCGTCGCGGGCTGTTGAGCGTTACATAGAGCATTATTATCGTTGGCCGGGACAAATGATGTATCTATAAACGCCGCTTTAATGCGACTACATTTGCGAAATGTGCACGGTGGTCGTAAATCACGCAATTTAATGCGTGTGTCGTCGACGTGCCACGCGGCTGGAAACGTAATTTTATCCCAACCGCGCGACCCGGCTCGTGCTGAATTAAATTCGAGCACCTACTCGTGCAAGATAAACGCTGACGCGCTTTTTCCACCGTTCCGCGATATTTAAATTCCCGTGCCATGTCAAACACACGAGTGTACGGGGAAACGAGCGAGAGAATAGCGGATGTATCCGGACGTAAGCAATCGCGAGCTTGTTTGCGATAGACCGCGCGGAGTGATCGTTTTGTGTGTTCTCGTCGCGAAGTTTGATGGGAAGATAGTTTCACGGTGTGGTTCGATGGTGTAGGAAGAGCCAGCTCCTGAACCGACACCGGAACCCGCACCTCCGACACCGTCGCCACAGCCGGAGCCAACGCCATCACCGACACCTGCGCCACCGCCAGAAGCAGCGCCGACGCCATCGCCAGAACCAGCACCAGCACCTCCAGCAGAGGCTGCACCCCCAGCGGCACCAGCCGAGGGTGCTCCACCTGCCGAAGGCGCGCCAGCACCCCCTGCAGGTCAGTGCATCCATTCCGAATATCGCATCGGGTTTTTAATTATATATTAGGCTGGCCAATCAGTCGTATCGAGTTTCTAAAATGGTACCCTTTTTGCCCGATGAGACAGAGCAACGATTGTAATTTATTAAATACTACGCAGAAAGTCTCGAGTCTTTTCCGATAAAATGCGAGAGTTGAGTCTAGAGTTCGTTTCAGAGTCTAATTAGAGATTTGCACAAGGGTCAACAAAAATAATTGCATTGTTACAGAGTTGATACGCGACTGTATAAAGAGATAATTGCATCGTTCAGAAGATCGACAAACTTTTAGCCAGCCCAATAATTCGATTTAAAATAACTCGCTACTTAACCGTGACGTCTTTCAGCGCATACCACATTGATAACTTCTATAAATATCACGAACTCGCGTAATCTTTTATAATCTTCGTCTGTTTACATCTTTCATGATAACAATGCTCGCAAGCCGCGGCAGCGACCAGAAGAGGAGCTCCGGAGGACAAGGCGCGCTTTGTCACAGTCTGTCCGTTTCATCTTAGATTAGAGTAGAATAGTAACGCGAGGTGCATGTACTTGTTCAGAGGGTGCACCGGCGGCTGCACCTGCAGAAGGCGCGGCACCACCGGCCGATGGGATGTGCAGTTGTCCAGGTATGCACTGGTTTGGGACATGCCGCGGAATCGAAAACCCGCGACGCGGAATGCGATTGAAATTTGCGTTCGACGGAGGGAGATTGAGGTTATGTAACGGCGAACACCGCGAAGAACGTGATGCGTATAATTCGCGTTGAATCATTAAGCAAGAGATTAGTATCCTAGTGTTGCAGCCCTAAAACCGCCATCGGCAGAAGGTGATCTTGCCACGGACAAGTCTTTCTGCACTCCAATTTTACTGGAAACCTCGTTACGTCACCTTGTCCTGCTACCATCTAACCACAGTAATGCCCATTATGACGACCCAAGCTTTGCTTTTACGTCCATTGATATTTCAACCGAACTCGCGAATTCTTGGAAACTGGAATCTTCGACTGAGCTTCGAATTTTCAACGAGCTTCTTTATAACGGGTTTTGAGACTTTTCTTTAGAATTGATCATACGTTGATCGATAGATTGTGATAATTCCGGTGAAACTGCAGTTTAGTGACTTTCATTTCAGTCTTATAATTCTTCGATTAGAAAATTTGTTTGTAGAAATTAAATTAGGGGATGTCAAAGTACGGGTGTTGCGGCCCTAGGACCGCAATGTTCCAGGTCAAGTGGAGGCCTGGTTTATGTCCTTATTGTCAGCATCCCTTGGCTTGTATATACTCATCGTCACCTAAACCACCGCTTGGGTAAACCGTAACAAGGATCCAAATAATTTAACTTCCACCACCACAGAATGACACACCCACCTCTTTTACATCTTATACAGACCAATCAGCAGACAGACGAACCTTATAAAACCACCGATAAGGCATTCACAAAAGGATTCTTCCTAAAAACTCCGAGACGACTATACTATCATCATCGAGATCCACCAACAACTCAGCGCAGGAGACTGTCTACTATAGAACTCTTTGCAGTTCAACTATAATCAAGTTAGAGTAGGCCGCATCCCAGTAACATTCCGCAGTAGCGTAAACGGGCCTTACGACCCCGCGAAACACTTTGCACTTTATATTGGGCCCAGAAATGTTATTGTACGATTTCTGCTCACAAAGTTATCGCTGTTCAAACATTTACATACTATAGATTCAATTTTGCTTTTCATTGTAGATAGGGGACCTAGACAAAGTAACGCCCTTTTACTAATTTTTGGAAAAAAACATAAAATCTGGAAATGGTGTGGAATGCCTGGATCCATCCACGAATTAAATTTAATTTTCGAAATATCTGCTGCACGTTCGATTACGATTACCTTGAACTCTACCTGCTCGTGCTACTAATTACATAAACATCTGATGCAGAGAAAAGTAATTAACCGGTCGATTGGTTTCGAAAATAACCGGCGTGACATCTCTGCTTTAAACTGCGGTATGAATCTCGACACTGGTTCAATGAATTTGAGCGAATTCGCAATCGTAAAGTGGGCATTGCTGTATTCATTCGTCACCGGGATTCTTTTAACTTTCATCCGTCGTGATAACTCGTAATTAACGACTTTAACCTCGAGTGTCGGTGACAAGAAGTCGGTAGGATACTAACGCGATTTTATGGGCGAAGGTGCACCTGCACCAGCGGAGGGAGCCCCAGCAGCAGCACCGCCACCAGCCGAAGGTGCAGCACCAGCTCCTGCAGAGGGCGCGCCAGCTGCAGCTGCGCCAGCCGAGGGTGCCCCAGCTGCACCCCCAGCAGAGGCTGCGCCGGCACCAGCACCCGAAGGTAATCTACTTCTTCCGCCCCTGTTGCTTCATACGATTACGTATTGTTCATTGCAGGATTAATCATCCGTTCTCGCCATTTATCATAGAGAAACTGGGCTACTTCCGCTTTCCATTTTTTAATCAATCTTTGCCCCCCTCTGTCGCGTAGCTGCGATTCTTGTCGCTTCGAGAGACACGGAAAGGCAGCTCATTATTCGTTTCTCCGTATTTTTATTATCTGTATTTTCTGCTTTTAACGCCCTTTCTTTCAACTTCTAATTTCTAGCTAAGGTAGTACACTTACTTTTGAAAGTTACAATGAACGTGAAGGCCAATCGTCCGATAAGTGGTTCGAAGTTCATCACGTACGGTATGTTGAGCAGCGAAGGTTCGCTTTGATAGTAGAGGACTAAAAATCATAGTGATCAATCACGAGTAATGTTCACAGCTATAGTCGACTAATCGTATCGTGGAACGTGTACCGGTGTACATCGTCGCTAGCGATCACGCTCGTCCATGAGCACTATAACTCGTTTCTACGGCTTAATTATACTACCATAATTCTAGACGAACTGATAAAACAGTAGTAACATCGATTCATCGCCATCGGTAGATTATAGTGAAATAATAACGGGTAATGGGACGCTATAAATCGTGGAAGCTTCGACAGAAGCGAGAGAGACCGAAGGAGAACGTGCAGTCTCCTCTTCGAGAAAGTAACGATCAGCTAAAAGGACTAAAAAACAAATCGATTAATCCAAAAAGCTCGATTGCTGCAGCAATGGCGGGTGGTGGCTAACAGGAAAACGTAATTTCCCGATTTTAAAAGGAATAATATTTTCTCTGTTCTATTTGCAGCGCCGGCATCGTAACTTCGTCGAAGTTGGAACGGACGAAGGGTCACCTCGCTATATTTCCACTCGTTACATCGTCAGAATTTGCATAAAACGTACATGGATAAGCATAGAGTACGGATACACAGATGCGTCGAGTCATATCATTCTCGGCGCGATGGTTCATGCGTTGCTTGTCAGCGTCGTCATCATCGTCATCATCATCGTCATCGTAGCCATTGTTTTCGTCATGCACACGCGTCAGCTTCAACGTCATGGCATGCGTCATGCGTATCATCCCGAGGAACGAAAGCGAGTCGGAACGGAAAAACAGGGACGCTTGTCGTTCACGTGTTTTCCGTCGTCCCATCGCGGATTTTACGACACCCTGTCACACGAAGTAATCAAGAAATCATCACTGGGCAATTTTTCGCTCGTTTCACCCGATCCTAGGACAAAAGTATAAGCCGCGTTGCTATTCTGAGGAAGGTCCTTTGTTGTTTGTGATTAGAAGCGTTACGTCACGCTCGTGATCCTACGGATTTTTCTGTCGACCGAAATCGAACGAGACTAACACGAAGTAAACAAGCAGCACATACGCAACATTTTTATGTAAATAATTTAACGACGCGTTCTATCAATGAAGATCAATGCAGACGTCATCGACACGCTTCCATACACGAAACCATTGGATTTCGTAATAAAAAGTTTCTTCTGCGATCGTCCAGTTTTATCATACCCCGAGACACATCCCGATTATTTCCAGCAATTTCCTACTTCCGGTCACGACTGCTTTAATCGATGCTCAAAGGCTCGCGAGGCCTTTGATTTTCTCGCTGGCAAACCTTATTTGGGAACGCTGCTGGCTGCTTTATTACCATGCCACGGGGTTGATAGGCATCATTTGTTTATGTTGCACACTGTCACGCTATGTGTTCTGCTAATCCCTTTGTCGCTACGTTTCGCTACGTGTACACAGTTAACACGGAAACAATAGACGTTCCAACGTAATGGAATTTACGTGGGTTAGTCTTACCGTTGCACGGTCTTCATCGGTTACCATACCGTTGTCAGTGTAATCGATCTTCGGGCTATCATGGTAAATTACCGTTGTTAAGCGTATCGTAATTTAATGGTATTCCAGCAATTGAAACGTTCAGCCGAGTCAACAGGCAAATCATAATTATTTTCAATTTATATTTGCGAGAGACTCGATTAGTCACGGGTAAGACCACGATAATTCTAAACGAACGATAAACAACTAGGCCGTCATCACTAGGAATATATTCCTAGTCACCCCATGCCAGTGGTTCTTCGTCAATTCACGGGACCCTTTTGATTTTGCCCAAAATTTTGCGAAACGCTGACATCCTTCCATAAATTCTCCAACTATACTAAATTCGAATTTAAAAAAGTAAAAGACAGCATCTAAACACGTAAAAAATAATTCCAGTTAAAGAAAATGATTTAAAATTATTTTCGGGTCACACCAGACAATCACATAATATATCAAAATAATTAGTAATGAAAATTTACTTAAATTATTAAATATCTAAAATAAAATATTAAAATTATATGGGGTCACTGAAAAGAAAATGGGAAAAGAATTAGGCGCGCAAATGGTTAATGCGATAGAGTGCAGCACGAGTGTTTAGAGGTTAAGAACTATCTATAGGTTAAGAACTACTGTCTCTGGAAAAAGAGTCGGTGATTTTTCATTGGAAGAAACGGACGGCCGACTTTTCACGGGCGCATATTTCGTGCGTGAATGCGGCAGCTTGAAAATGACCACGTAATATCCGCGTATTCATCTCTGAGAGGTAAGACTGACAAATGCAGAATGTAGAGTCGTTAAGCCGCGCGTAATTCGAAACTCGAGGCCGTGTGCGTAGCGGTAAGCCAGCCGGCACGGCCAGTCAGTCGCGCTCCAGCCGTCGTGGTGGAAGGTGCTTGTTGTGTTCTCGTATATAGTAACGTCCGTGCGCCCGCCCTTTCGTTCCTCGTCGCGTCAAAACAAATGGATTGTTGCTTGCCGTGCCGCGTGATACGCCGTGCGAACGGGCCCGTGCTTCCTCGCGCGTCCTCACGTTAAATCAAGTGTTCCTTTGCCGTGCATCGAGCACATTGTGCGCGAACAAGTTGCCGTGTTACGCAACCGTCCACTCGCGGCACGCGGGAAACTGTACGAACTTGCGGTGCGTCTTCTATATACCGTAGTTCCTTTTTTGCTGCCACTCACTCATCCAGAGGACGCCCTCGGTAAGTGTGTGTTTATTATTCGATTGGGAACAGGTTGCCGCGTGACGCCATCTCGGCATATTTATGGCGGAAGGATACGAGAATTTAGAGGGAAAATAGTGCAAAAAGATGGCGGCCGTTGTTTTGACACGTGCATACGTGGATTCGAGCGTCGCGATTATTCGATTCTTTGTGCTATTCTTACGACGTAATTCGGCACAGGAGCTCGGTTATGTGTATCGTTAGTGCGTTATAACCTCGAATAGTTATATGAAGATTGTTTTCGTTCTCGACGTTTCGCGACCTTCTCGTGTCTGTTGATGCTTCGAAGCTGCTCGTGGTCGTGGTCGCGGTCGCGTGTAAATCAAACACGGAAACTGTGTAGCGAACTAGGCCAACGGCGTAGAACCATTCTTACGAACTGTTTGCTTGGAAAAAGTATCACCTTGACACCGTGCGTTCTGGGGAGACATTATTACGAATATCGCGAGCACGGAGATTGTCGGCGTTATCGTTTTCGTTGTTACACGACTCGCGTAGTTTCGATAAACCTTATGTCGAACATGGGCGTATCGTTGGTACGAGCGACGAAACGTGGATAGAGCGGGCATGATTGATCAGAGCGGACGATACGAGTTCGTTAAATCGGCGGAACGTGCGACGGACTTGTTTTGACAGTCATAGAAAGAATTCCGTCTGTTCGTTCCGGTCATACCGGTTCCCATCGCGTAAAGCCTATGAAGGAGGCGTAGGATAGGACAAGGGGAGCGAGAGAGACAGATAGACAAGTGAAAAAGAGAGCAATAGAGGATGCGAGAGAACGGGTCAACCGACGACAAGAAATCCAACGTACGACACCATACGCTTTTCTCGTCGCGTCCCCTGAGATGATCGCGTTATATTGGCCACCGTGCCGCTTCGTTTCGAGGTTAATTCCTATCGAGTTTTTTTATCGACCGAGCGGAGGCGTTCGATCGTGTCCCGTAACTCGCTTAATCGCGCTGTAACGAAGTGGTAAACTGAGCTGGAATTTCGTAGTTTCACGCGGTTCTTTCGTCGAGGGGAGCACGGAAAGGGAAAAAGAAACAAACGGAACTATAAATCTCGGACAGTTCGAAGGTGTAAAACTCGACGTGGAACCTGTTGGAAGGCGAGGAAGGGACAGTACAACGAAGAGGTGAGTGCGACGAAAATTTCGAAAACTGTCGAAAAACGGTTTCGTTACGGTAAATTAACTTAGGAGCCGCTTCCTCGAAGTTTCTTTCGGCGCACGGTTCACGGCTCCCCTCCTCTCTCGCGTTCGTCGAATAAAAAACTTCGCGTTTGTTGCCTCGGCGGGGATTCTTAGCTGCAGCATCCATCGAGTGGAGCGTCTGAGGTAGTTTGAATTCCAGACGGATAGTTGCGGTTCCGCGACGTGTTGGCTAAGTGAATCGCGCGTGGAACGGTTCAGTCAAGGTTGAAGTAGTTTTCTCGTTACTGAAAGTACCAGCCGATGTCCGCCGTCGAAAGATTTAACGCGAACGTCTCTTTTCCCTTCTTTCGTATTCAAGCCAACCTAGACTGCGGAGAATCGACCGCATGAATATTTCCGCTTTGACATGTCCCGTCCCGGTTCACCGCCTCGCAATTTTCTTCGCGAATTTCCTCGCGATTTTCCTCGCGAATTTTCTCACGATTTTCCTAGTCAACTTGGAAGCAGTCCGAGAGCACGTTTCCTCGATATTTTAACGACCGTATAATAATAATTGTAACGTACCTCCTGCTTGATGAAATCCTCGAGCAGCTCCGTGAGTCGCGACTAACATGGCCGATGAACAAGAACCTCTGGTAATAAGCATAACAATTCTGGTAATATTCAATGAGAAAGTGGAAAGAATTTCTGCAGGAACGAACTGAGCCGAACGTCTCCTTATCTTTTCTTGCTGATTTTACATAAGCAACGTAAACGTACGCTATCGATCATATGAAACTATACTAATATCTCGACTGATACACACATTTAAGAATGTGTAAACACGGCTATCTTCGTTGTAATATCTTCGTTTCGCGCGTCCCGTCCGATTCCGCGTGGACTCGTTGGCAAAATCCTGAATTATCCCTCGGTTTTTTCCTCGAGCTGTTACAGACAGGAAATTAGGAAGCTCTCCGAGGTCACGTATTCACCGTACCGCTTTCAATTTAGGATTAAGAGCGCTCGCCGTTATCGGCGGCCGGGGATGAGACTGGCCCGCCGTTTTGAGGTTATGTACGCCGATAGTTCTCCAATTACCCGAGGCGCGCTGGCGTCTCGCACTGAATATGTATACGGGGACAGAATCGATCTATGTACGCAACATCGAAGACGATCCTTTTGCTCCTCGATTCGATATTAATTGGAATTGAACTCGATATCGGAGCGATCGATATCTTTTTAATTTGCGGGCTATCGTCAAAGCTTTTACGCGATAGAGATTTTCCACGTAGAAGGACATTCGACATTTTCGTAGACGGGCGAGGAATATTCGGATAGCGAAATTTTCGCCATTCGAGTGCGGGAATGAAGTTAAGATGGCGGAGCATTTCGAGGCGACGCGAACCGACAGATCGAGCGTTACGTATGCATGTATGGTAACGATTTCTGCGAGCGTGCACAGAACGTTCCCATTCTGGGTGTCGAGTGTTTCGTTATCACCGTTATCGCTTAGTATGTGCGTACGCGTAGTATACCTGTACGCCATTGGCGTTACCATTTTGCATCCAGAAGTGGCTTACTTCGTGCAATCTGTCGGAACATTCGCGATAATCGGCAAGTCCACGATTAATCGGTGGCAGATGGGGCCATTTTTACCGGGGTAGCTGTATCAGGGCAGGGATATTAAATAATTCATATATTTTGTAAAAATGTGAAAGGGTTTTAATGCCGTCTCTCTTCAAATATTTATCCAGCGTATGACGCGTCAACCATAACGTAACAGGGTTAATAACGTAATTAATTTGGGAACGAGAGTCAACAAATACGCGTGTTTTTTTTTTTAAATATGATATACGAGCGTTAAAGAGAAATATTCCAAATATAATACGGTATATGCAGTATTTAAAATATATTTATTACACACGCGTTTCATTGATAAATCACGCAAACAGATTGCCTAGGTAATGTATTTATATTAGTCGAAAGTAGCATCAAAATAAGAAGCTGATTCATTTTCTGCTGCGCATGACAGCCTTAAGATAACTTTCCATTTAACTCACTAGCGCCACCACGGTCCGTATCTATTGTAATTTTATCGATATAACCTTAGAATTTCCTCTTTCCTACGTACATAATTCAACTTATGTACATATTTCAGTTGCTGAATGTAGCAAATTCGTATACTTTCGTATCCCAGTGTACAAGACCCTATAAAGTAGTTCGCAATCTGTGACCCATATAAATCTCACACGATTTTTCATGTATTACTGTTAA